ATATAATATATATATATATATTATATATATATATATATATATTATATATTATTATATACACGTACAACACACACACACACACCACACCACACATTTACATATGGATGCTTTATGTATGTATGTATGAATGTATGCATGTGTGTATATATATATATATATTATTATATATATTATATATATATTATGTAGTATATTAGTAGATATAGGTGAGGTATATGAGTATGAGTAGCAGCACACAGACACGACGCCCACGGCAATCTATATATGTCTATAGCCAAATACAACAAGCTCAACACGCCAAGTCCATCTGGCGGGGTAGAACTGAGGTATGGAGGTACGGACAGCGCAGTGTTCTGCCCAGCCAGGGTGCGATGCCGAGAAATGAACCTTATCGTACCTCTGCGCGTACCAACAGCGTCGTCCACCTGTTGACATCAATAAACATCGCAAGTTAGCTACGACTTGTGTTCTACACGCTGCAGCTTCATCACCACCTGTTGCGACAGCAATTAAAGATTCCGTATGTTAAGTTACGACTTTGTTTCTACACGCGGCGCGTCCATCACCACCTGTTGCGACATCAATAAAACATCGGTTTTAGCTATGACTTACTGTATTCTACACGCGCAGCGTCTACCACCTGCTGCGACATCATAAACATTAGGTTAGCTACGACTTTGTTCTACACCGCAGCGTCATCACCACCTGTGCGACATCAATAAAACACCAGTAAGTTAGCTAAGGCTTGGTTCACTTGTTCTACGCCACGTACAATACAGTGATAAGGTGGACACAGTCGACTGCATCTTAGGTCAACATCGGTATAGAGGAGAGGAATGAAGAGCAGGGAGGAGGCGAGGGAGAGAGGAGGGAGAGAGGGAGAGGGAGAGGGGGACGGGAGGAGGAGGAGTGAGAGAGCGGAGATGAGGGAGAGAGGGGAGGGAGGAGAGAGGAAGGGGAGAGAGAAGGGAGAGAGAGAGAGAACGAGAGANAAAAAAGCACGACACAGCCACACCACCACACACACACACATCACAACACAACACACACACACACACAGCCAGTGCACACACACACACATAAGCACACGCACCACGCACACACACATACACAAGCAATTAAGCCACACACACAAGTCAGGTGGTCATTCAGGGGCACACACAGCACAAGCAACTACAACACATACACACAGCAATAAGCACACACGACACAACACACATATACCAACACATATGAGCGAGCACGCACGAAGCACACTGCGCACGCACACACACAATACAAACAAGCATAAGCACTACACCACACACAGGATGGTACACATTCACACACATCTCAACACACACAGCACACTAGCAGCACACACACGGCGCATGAAGCAACACATGGTCACACAGCCCACACACACACACATACAGCACACGCACACGCACCCACACATTCACACAGCATAAGCACACACACACACACACATATACACACACATAAGCACACGCACAAGCACACGCGCACAGCACACACACATACACAACATACAGCACACACACACACACACACACATAACACACACCACACACACACGCATAAGCACACACACACACACACACACACATAACACACGCACACGCACACACACACACACCATACACACACACACACAGCACAAGCACACACACAACACACACACACACAACACACACACAGATGTCCCAATAAATAAGGCTTCTAACTAGATTCATCACCCTGATCAAAAAAGAAAAAAAAATCAAATTAGTCCTATCCCCACAGTACTCCACCCCCTCCCTGCAACACCACCCACCTTTGCAACAGCGGCAAAAACGTCATGACCAATATATGGACAGCCAGTGTATTGACGGCGAAGTTGTTTTCGATTCCGTCCGCATCCAGACAGCGTTCGTGGACCATGCATCCGGCGTTGTTTATAAGAACGTTCAGCCTGTCGTGGGTGGCGGCGAATTCCTTTGCCCAGGCCAGGACTTCTCGAGGCCGACTGAGGTCCACTGTGTGCAGGTGGATTTTCTGTTGCAAAGGGAGAGTATGGTCATATGTTAAGGTCCATGGATTAAGGTCATATGTGTTTTTTTATGGATTTTCTGTTGCAAAGGAAGGATAAGGTCATATGTGTAGTTTTTTATGGATTTTCTGTTGCAAAGGAAGGTTAAGGTCATATGTTTAGTTTTTTTATGGATTTTCTGTTGCAAAGGAAGGTAAGGTCATATGAGTAGGATTTTTTTTGATGGATTTTCTGTTGCAAAGGAAGGTTAAGGTCATATGTATTTTTTTAGATGGATTTTCTGTTGCAAAGGAAGGTTAAGGTCATATGTATATTTTTAGATGGATTTTCTGTTGCAAAGGAAGGTTAAGGTCATATGTATATTTTTAGATGGAGTTTCTGTTGCAAAGGAAGGTTAAGGTCATATGTATATTTTTAGATGGAGTTTCTGTTGCAACGGAAGGGTAAGGTTATATGTGTAATTTTTAA